TTTTTTTTTTTTTTGCAAGAAATATGTCTTCAAAGGAATAGGAAATTCAGAAATTTTTCGAAAAGAAATTAACATGCTGTAAGCCGAGTGGTAAGTGAGTTTTGACATTTTCCTCTTTACGTATAAAATTTTGCTCGTTATGACCTATAAAATATAGAATAAGAAAAGAACGGAATTTTACAATTACAACAAATTTTTAATATTTTACCGAAAATTGCGTTAAGTTTTCCTTGTGCTGATCTATCCCTAATGTGTAAAGGTACTGTTGGTTGTGGACCATTATGATTCATAATAATATGTTCTGCAGATTTTAAGGCATTATATATAAGTCGAGACTTTGGTGCTCTAGCTAGATATAGAACACACTCTGCTAAAAGTACATCACATTCTGGCATACCAATCATTTGGCACCCATGCATAGTATGTACAGCAATGCCTGGAATTAGGAGTTAATTGTTTATCTTCTTACGTTATTTATCGTAACATTATCTAGAAAAATGTACCTAAAGCATCAAGGTCTGCTAAACCAACATCTTCGCTTGATATTCTTACTAATCTCCGCGCTATATCTACAGGATCTTCTTTAACTGCCATAATCCGTGCTAACCAATATAAACATGCATTTTCCTTACCAGCTGCTATCGATTTATGTAATGCAGAATATAAGTGATGGGTATTATTACTTTGCTTCTCGGATAATGTATGTGCTTGTTTAAAACTTTCTTTAACATCTTCAAGAGCTATTGAAATAAGATGGGAAGAACTTGGTTTATTTAATACTTTTGTTTTAACTGCTAATTCTAAACCATTTAATGCAACGCGTGCATCTCCATCACATACTTCTGCTAACCAATCAATTACAATCTTATCAATGGAAAAACGTGATTTGGTATTATAGCTTAATTTATCCTTTGTACTACTTGAGGAGGAATTATATATTTCTCCATTAAGAGATGAAATTGCTTTACAAAGAATTTCCAATGTATTTTCTGTTGTTAACTTATTTAAAGCAAATACACGACATCTGCTTAGCAAAGCAGAATTCAAACTGTAAGATGGATTCTCTGTAGTTGTGCCAATTAAAGTAAATGTGCCTGCCTCAACATGTGGTAGAAAAATATCCTGTTGTAGTTTATTAAATCGATGTATTTCATCCATGAATACAATTATTTGATTAAGTTTGGGCCCCTTTTTTACTGTGTTAACAATATTTTTAATGTTATTCACACCAGATGATGTTGCAGACATATTCATAATACGTACTTTTTCTCCATGCATTTCTTTACTTAACTTGGATATGATATTAGTTAAAGATGTCTGAAACATATTTTAACAAATGAATAAGAATAATAATTAAAAGTGATAAAAATTAATCATCCATCGTGTTACCTTTCCACATCCTGGTGGACCCCAAAATATCATGTTAGGAATATGTCCCTTTATTAATAGTTGCTGTAACACAGTGTCAGATCCAATAACATGTTCTTGTCCTACATAATCATCAAAGCACGTGGGCCTCAATTGCTCAGCAAGAGGGACAAACTCTTTGTTTGACAATAATTTCTCTTGATTCATACTTGTATCAGTTGTTGTATTAGCTTTATACTTCTTTGGTGGATTCATTTTATCGATACTTTCATACGGATATGATCTCTTTGATGTCAATGACATTTCCATTAAAATTATATCAATTAAAAGAAGCTCACAATATACATAGCTTTCTGTACATTGTTCTATATATTGTTTGCATGAAAATAATTACCCAAATATAATGCAGTTTAGACTTTCTTATCTTTTATTTTCATTCAATTTATAATATTTAAATATTTTATAGAGCCCTTAGAATCGAGGTTGTTTATAGCAAATATGAACGTCACATAAATGCATTCTACGTTTTAAAGTGTTTATCTCATTTTAATATCTACACATTTCTGAGATAGCCGAAAATAAATCGCAGTGCCATCTATCCATTATCTTGAATGTTGAGTATAAAATGCACGTGCATACAGTTCCGATTATTACATTGAATTGTTTTATAATTTTAATTTATACATTTTAATTTATATATTCGAGGTAGAAATTGACGTTACGTCGTTTTAAGTAAGTTCAAAGTAGAAGAAAATCACAATACTTCGTATTACCAATATATAACCTCTCTTTGCAGGTTTTTGATGAAAAGGAATAATTGTATACATTTGATAAATATGTCAAATATATGGAATAGAAATATTTACCGTCAAGAACAAGAAGCATTTGTTTCTGGTCATGGTGGAACAAGCTCCAGAGAAGTTATATATGCAATTATGCCAAATGTTTGTAGTATTCTCTTAACTACAACTACAATGGGTCTTCTAGATAGGGTTATCCATAGAAATATTAAAGTCCTGATAGAATTTGTATTAATTGTAATTCCATCTATCTTATGTTGCACTGTATTATCGGAGTATGTTATTAGTACATGCTGTGCCATGATGCTGATATCTCTTATTAATATTTTATTCTTGGGAATTAATGTAAATACAACGTCAACTTACTATATAAGGCCTACTCCTGGTAAAAGGCCTTTTATTACAAATTTTAGAGCATTGACTAACATGATAACAGCAATATGCATACTAGGTATAGATTTTCATATTTTCCCACGTAAATTTGCTAAGACTGAGCTATTTGGATATAGTCTAATGGACACTGGTGTAGGGTTATTCATATTGGCTAATGCTTTAGTTGCTCCAGAAGCTAAAGACTTTGATCCTAAACCTAGAATAGGCTTTTTTTATACTATATCAAAGAATATAACACATTCTGCAAGAAGTTCTATTCCACTTTTGGCATTAGGCTTTGGCAGGTCTGTTGCCATTGAAGTTCTAGGATATCAAAAACACGTAACCGAGTATGGTATTCACTGGAATTTCTTTATAACTCTCGCTTTTGTGAAACTGTTCACCAGTTCTATAACAAGTATTATTAATTCGAGGTATTCATTGTTATCAGGAATCTGGATTTTAGGGATGCACGAATATATTTTGAGTACTAAAGGGTTAAAGGAATGGGTACTAAGTAATAGACCAAGAAATGATTTTATATCTGCTAACAGGGAAGGTGTAGTATCCGTACCCGGATACGTAGGTCTCTATTTAATTGGTGTAGCAATTGGTAGATTAATTCATTCCACTTATAAGAATGCACATGTACAAAATTCATCTCAATATAAGCATAGAAGATTGCACTTTGAGTTTTTTGCATATGAATTTGATGAAAATTACTTTGAGTCTGTAATATTGTGTATTAAATTAGCCTTGATATCGACACAAACTTGTGCTGCCATTCTGTTTTGTGAGTCATATTTTAAAGTCTCTAGGCGCTTAGCGAATGCAGGTTATTGCATGTGGATTCTAACCACAGGTGTCGCGGTACTTACATTATTGTTATTGATAGAAATAATATCCGATATATTGATTCATACAACCTTGAACGTGGAATGTTATCAAAAGAAAGCAAATGTTAGAAGCAAACGAGAAAGCGTTTCTGATAAATTCGAGGGAAACGCAAGCAAAAATAGCATTGAAATATTCGAAGCTATCAATTATAATGGTCTGCTTTTCTTTCTCGTATCGAATTTAATGACTGGCGGTATTAATATGCTAGTGCGTACGTTATATGTAAGTCAGTTAAAAGCTATGCAAATATTGATCGTGTACATGGCTGTAAATATATCGTCGGTTTTATTATTGTATAGAAAACAGGTACAAATTAAGTTATAAAGAGAACATGCTATTCGTCGTACTAACAGCATAGCGAAGTATGCAATTTTCTGCGTCATGAAATTAAATTATTACTCAACGTAAACAATTAGTAATTTAAAAATATTTCCACTGCCATTACGTAGACATATCAAACTGTATTCCATAGTTATTGCTTCTCTTTTTTATTAAAATAAGTATGTACATATTTCTGTATAAAAATAAGTAAAACACTTAGTTGGTAACAAATTGTTTCTTTCATTCGATATTAATTCTACTAGTTATGAGACTATCGTTAAAGCGTTTCGTTGTTCTCGAAACAAATTGTCTAAAAAATTCATTATAATTCATCTTTGGGTTGAACACCAGATTTTAATTCAGCCATCTCTTTCGATTTGAAAGCTGCACTCTCTTTTACATCGTTTATCGGTCTAGTCTGATTTTTCGTTTCCGTTCCCTTACGTTGTATTCTTTTATTCATAAATTTTTTAAACGAATCATGATTTTTCACGTAATTCGTAGCTTGTGAAACTATGCGCAAGAATTCTTTAACATCGAAACTATAGTTTGTGAATTTTGCGTGTGCCCCTCCGTCAGGATGTGTGCCCTACACAGATTTACTTTCAGAGTTAAAAGTCGAGTCAAATTTTGTATCTGAGAAACAATTACTCACGGGATCCTGTTGCACCAACTTCGAGGCATTTTCCCACGTGAAGTACTTTACACCGCGTAAACGAGCAAGATCTTTGTAACATCCTGGATCTTCGCAATTGTATCTGCACAATAATCACGCATGAGATGCATTTCCCAGAGGAAAACGTTTAACTATACTTACATCTCGAACAACGCAGCCCAATCCGGCAAAAACATTAGATGCGTTAATCCAGCTCCGTGTATACCGATAAAAATATCAGTGTTTCTCGTAATTTCTAGCTGCTTCTTGAATGGTACCTTCTTATTATAAATTACCTAAAAATGGCAAGCATTTTTACAGTAGTTATACTCGCGTTCGTTTTATCATAGGGGAATCTATACTCTAGACCATTCCACCGGTCCGTTCTTCACCTTTCTCACTTTGTACTCCGGGTTTTCCTTCAGAGCATTCACCAATTCATCCTCGTTGAGAATTTTCCGATACTGAGTGTCCCTACTGAGCAAGGTGATTCGTATCCTTTGGTTCTTTCTTTCGTGAAGAGGTATGCGTAGTCTGTGTAACACGTGGTCACCAAAGGCTTTGAACAATCCACTGTTCTCACAGCCATAAATCTAGAATCCGTGTTCATCGGTAAAAATCGTCGTATGATTCATCCTTATGATAATGAACGTAAGAGAAAGGAAACCGTGCAACCGTACAAGAGGTGTATTATAGTAGAGACCAAAAATCATGCGCGGCAATAAGGGGAACACGAGATTCTTGAAGCAAACGGTTTCTCCGCGAAACGTTTTCAAATCCCACAGCGGGTTCCTCGTGAAAGCCTCGAAGGCGTCTTGGAACGCAGAACGGTAGCTGAAAACGAGAAAGAACTCGTGGTATCTGGTGTCTCATGGTTTTCCTGTCGCGCCGGTGTCAGTTACCTGTAGCTTTCCCAGATCATTATATGATTATCAGTGCTGAAGGCGGCGGGGTGCGAGAGGTTTACGTGCAATGACGCGTACAAGTTGAAAAAGTCGCAAAAATGATGATACATATTTACTACTGAAACAGAACGACTTCGACAAATGAGTGGGATGTCGGAGATTCGAGTGTTCGACGAATCATCACGATCACTGATCGCGTGAGTCGCTTCTTACGACTTACTAGCATCTATTTTCATTATGAACGTTGGCTTTTCGATAACGATATCACAGTCGTTGTTGACGATCGGCGGTCGTGGTAACTTGCGAAAGTTTCGCAATTCAGGTCCCCAAGACTGAAGCGGGCTGATATGGTCGGTATTGTCTTGCAGTCTCTTTTCGTTTAATCTGGACAGACGAGATAATACCAATTAACACGAATTAACAGGAATCGATACGAACGTTGAATAGTTTTTTACTCACGTGCAGTATCCTCCAATCTGACCATCCTTCAGCACATCCATCTTGTATCGTATAGGTTCCTTTCTTTGGAGTAAATCCGTGAAATTGATCATTACGTTCCTTGCTCTACAAAATCTCATGTGCTCCGAGCATTCTAGGGACGAGTCGTCCTGTAGTGGGAAATATCGCGAATGAGAATGGAATAGAAATCCTTTATCTGTCAATTTGGATGGTACTCACCACGAACAATGGTTCGCAGAAGATCAACATTTCTTTCCTTTGGTCGCGTACGTAGCCGAAATCGCCTTGAGCGTAAAACGTCTCTACCTGTGCTTTTTTCGTTGTCACCCATCCTCTGTGATCACCTGGACATTGAGGAACGGAAAAAGTATTTTCGGCTTTGCAATTCGGCTCGTAACCCCAACAAGCTTTGGTATCAAGGCTATCCTAAGTTTTTTCAAGAAAAATTCTTCGTTAATATCCGTCTTTCATAAACTCGGATTATCTACGATTGTTTGCGCGTGCAAAATCCCCGATGCTTTCACGGCTATCGTACACACTTTCATGCAAGCAATGCAAAAAGAAGCGAATAAAAAATTAGAGATCGAGGCACGCGGAGTACATGATTTCTCCTTTAATCGATAATTCCTTGCATAATCGCGTTATTAATACACCGCGTATTACCTTGTACGGACAGGCGGTATTATTGCGGCACTCTTCGGCCACCGTGGGAAAAGAGTTGAAGTAATACTTGATGTGATCAGAGGGCAGATCAATGTCCGTGTAATTACTGTACGTAGCTGTGACCGCGAACACCAGCACGATCGTCACTGAGCATTTAATAGATAACGCGTTATCGATCATCATAGCGGGATGCACTAATGAAAATTAAGCCGGGATTCCCTGAGAGAAGGTGTCGTGCACTCGCTTTACGGAGTGACTGTACGGCGTGAATGGAGGAGGAACCACCTGTACGAGTGGATGGGTATATGACCTCACCTACTGTGCGTACTCTGTGTCACACAAGCACGAACGTCCGTACACCCACACGAACGCGAGCGTGTCTCCTTAAAAGAATCGGTGAAAGTCAATGCTAGAGTTAGATACACGGTAACTTACATCATTTTTTCGAATACTAACGCGTATTACCTACCTAGCTATCCTTGAAAATTTCTCACCGTGGAAGAAAACGTTCTAGAGGGCCCCCGTTTTATTTTCGAAATCATACCGGCATTTAGCACCCTGTCAACCCAATCGGTAATATAGTCGTGATCCTTGTTGCATCGGTGAAAATAATAATTCCAGTACTCACGCGTGTTGTACGGAGCGGATATCCTCCGGTTCTCTCACCTCTCGCTACCGAAAAGACAGGAAACTCCGGTGAATGGACATTTGACTTCACTTTCACGCACGATCAACAGCTTCGACGGTGTACATAGATTCAATATGGCCGAACACGGTTGTAGATTCGTGGAAAACTCTCTCCAATAGACAAAACGTTTTTCTGACTTTCTCGCTCGACGAAGTAACGACTGGATAACGAATGGATAAATTGTTATACATGTTGGTTCATTCTACAAATTATTTAGAACGTTGTAATGCGATCTATCGGAATTTTAGTTTCTTTCGAGTAACGTTCGCATTCCTCTGTTGTGACGCTTTGCACGCGACGAAGTAAATTGTTAGAACCACCTATAGGAGGCCACCTATAGGAGGTTCGAGGAGTAACTTTGTGCCCAATCGTGTCGCACACGAATGAATCCTTGCCTGCGTTAGCTGGACGTGATAATGAATTTTCTTCATAGTCGAGTATCGATAAAAGTGTAGTTACCTTTTGTCAGAGAGAATGGTATGAAAGCGTTGCTAGACACGCAAGCATGCGACAAGCTAATAATAATCGCATTAAAAATATAGATTTTGTTTGCGATCTCAGAACCATTCTCGATATAGACGAAATGTTCATCCGTGGTCCGATGCTCTGTCGGTAACACTGCAGCCGCTACTGAAACGGTAAGGGGTCCCCTGAAAATTTGGTACAAAATACACGTATCGTTAGATCCGTGATCTTAGATCCTCGTTTGCGATTCTGTACCTTATTTATGAGGAGATAAAGCTGTATAATTGTTAGATACCCGGGTATTTCTCCTGTATATCATTTTATGCAGGCATCTGTACCTAGGTGGCTTGTTCCAGAGATTCTTAGAGATCTTCCTTACCAATGAAAGGTGGAAATCGTCGCATGAGAAACGAGTTCTTCTTCAGGGTCGAGTACAGACTTTTTACTACGAAAATTTAGAATTTTTCGCGTTTTTGTTTCTATTCGTGTCAGTTGTAACGTGTATTTCCCATTCTCATCGCCAGTGATCGATAGCGAAAAAGTTAATGAGGAACGGCAAGAATAAATTTCTCGGTTAAGGTAGATTTGTGGAAAAAATTTGGAACTTTGTCTGGGAGATATTAATTCGGAAAACTGCTCGGAAGCGATCTCATAAATATACGCAGAGGAGACACCGAGGCTTATAAGGAATCGCTCTGGCATGGTAAGACTATTGTCTAATGTCAGGGCAGAGCGATGGCTTCCGTTATTCAGCATGTTTGCACGCGAAATAAACGTTGTATTGACTCTCGATAAGCTCGGGAGACGCACCTTATGCTAATTCCCCGTGGATACGTCAAAAACCGTTTCGACGTACACGGTAGAGACAGTTCGATCTTCTCCCGAGGCGTGGCCGATGTAGATCGTATCTTGGCAGTTTATACGATTTTGCTCGTCGAGGAGAGATTCGAATCTAAGGGTCTGGACGTATACCGGTTGAAATACAGCGAGTCCCACACTCGGTTAGGCATGAATCGTTACGTAATCTGGAAGACTCGGATAGCTGCAGTACTCGTTGCTCGCAGGTGTCTTTATCCGTTGGCCAGAAATGCTTTCCATGCAATTAAAGCCAGGTTTGGCGCGGGTTACATTGTGGTCAACAAAAGGATCGTGTACACCGAGTTAAGAAAGTTATTTATTTAGTACAACAGTTCCTTTCTAATTTCGTTTTCGAGCATATTCCGCGGCAGAACCGCGGCGAATTGGATAAACACTTAACGTACGTGGGAATACAATGGGCGCGAAACGGCAACGAAAAGTTTGTTTCGAAATATGTTCGCGGCTATAAAAGCGATACCCGGGTTTTCATGGAACCCCGAGTGGCGGTTTAGCTCGTGGAGAAATAGATAGGGCTGAAAATAGATAGGGAAGTCTAATCTGGGTAATCTCGATGGCTGGTGGACGGTTTCGCGCGATTGCACGGGATTGCACGCGATGGAATGACGGCGAGATGGAATTAACACGGGCACGGTTCGATCTTCCCCAAGTTGGCTAGTTATCGATAATTCACAAATCAATGCTAATCGATGCGAGGGAACCGAGATGTCGGATACGAGAGACAATAGCGTATAGGTACCTCCGGCTCGGCGTCAACCTGCCATGGCGTGACCCGGAAACGGATCGCTTCGAACAAGTCGGTATATATGTATATACAAATACAGGTATATATCGGCGAGGAGACATACCGGACTGGCCGGCATGGATCGCCGTGGATAGATGGAGGGAATGATCTACATCGATCACGATCACGGCACCCTTGCCCTGATCCGCAACGGGTACGGTGCGGTTACAACGGTACCTCTTCGTTGTCCATTATCGACGAAATCGCCATCATCTTTCTTTCTGATAATTTTATCAGTCTGAATCGGCTTTTGTGAGTTCACGCCACGATCTGATCGGGAAGCATTATTGATCGGGGGCCTGCGGATGAAAAATGCCGTTGCGCCGGGAATTACTGAATCGAGCCGGCTCTCTCGACCCACGCTCGGAAGAATGGAATAATGGCCGGTAACGGAGCATTTGTATGATCAATTTCGCGACAGAATTGCGTAATGGTTTGATAAACGGGCTTCACGTGGAAGTGTAACACGTAGAAATGTGGCGTGCAAGTTGTAAAACGAGCGCGTGGCATCGGTGTAACGCGGATTGTCCCGCCACGGTGGCGCCACGCTTCGCGGGCGACACGATGCAACCTACGCGAAATTCAGCGCTATAATGTTCCTCGTAGACCTCTTAGGGTTCCTCCCGTAGGTAACACGGAGAAAATCGTGGAGGCGGCGCGTCACTCGCGCAATTGCAACGGGTGTCTTGCGAAACCAGAACATGGGGGGGCACCCACGCGGCTGGCGAAAAAATTCGGCGAATACAAATTTCCCCGGATGCACGTACTTTTCGTTCGCGTTCCACGTCCAACGCTCCCCGGCAAAGAATTCCCGTGTCCATGGCCGGATTCGAATAGTTGCGTCTATCAACCTGCGCCAAGTGTGCAACGCGTCGTATATTATCGTGAATCTACCTGCGTCTTTTCTCTTTGCCACCCACGCGTCCCATTTGAATACGTATACAGACATAAAGTGTAACGATTGCCGTCCCTTCTGGCCGCACGGAACGCTCGGTGGTTATCGGTAGACAATGCTTTGTAGATCCTCGAAACAACAATCGTAAGTGCACGCGTTACTGCCTGTAAAATAATCCACGTAAATCGGCATTTTTTCGATGGAACAATTCGTTGAACGGGCGACTCGGCTCTTCGCGGTTCTATCGTCGTTTTAGACGAAAATCATTGGAATGGTCGAATGGAACTGCGTTCGAGGGTTAAAGCTTACCTGTATATTCCAACCTCGAGCTGCGCGTATACTCGAGATCGCTATTCGAGCAACGGAAACTTGGATTGCACGCGCGAATGCCACGTACCTGGTATACCTATCTACTCGGTCGTTGCCGGTGACTCCGAGGAAAAAGTTTGCTTCGTCGTCGCGTGATAACTCGCAACGCGGAAAGCTCGATCTTTCGAAATCTCCGATTTATCGTGCAAAGTGCCGTGTAACGGATCGCGCGGTAATCGAGAAACCGAGATCTAATCTATCCACATTTATAACGATCCGAATTAGAATCCGATTATCTCGACTGCCTCTCTCGGGCCCGAGTTCGGGCCCAGATAGAAATTGCCCGGCGGCATTAGACGCGCGGCAAAGAAATTCCATCACACGCTAGCCTCTCGTTAGTGACGCTGGACTAATCGCTTAATTAATACGTGATAAATGTTTGTAATTCCCTCGGCGAGTCTCGCGGCTCTCTACACGTACTTCGTTACCACGACCAATTAATTACGTAGGGGAAGCGATTAAACGCAGGCCTGCATCCGATGCGGAGGACAAGAAAGTCCTCCTTCGCGTCAACCTCCGGGGTCCACCTCGAATTTTCGTCGCGATCCACGCCGACGATTTATCCTCCAGCGCCGCCACCGGGGTCACGGGGTTATGGTTCCTGATGTCGCGCGCATGAAAAAAACGCGCGAACCTTAAAATATCGCATGAGGGCTGGCGATGCGAGTTTAAGGTTTCCTTCGTTCCCGAGGGATCCTTAAATTCGAGACGCGCGCGACCCTTTCGAAAACCGTACGGACTCGACGCGAAATAATTCTTTCGTTCGCCGTGAAACACGCGCGAAACGTTCCTTCCGTTGCGATCCGCGTCGATTGCCCGTTCCATCTATCGCGCACGACGCTAACGGTGCATGGATCGACGATGCATAATGAACCGACGCAACAGTATATTCAGGACGATGATCGAGTTTTTTCCACGATAGCAAGAAAATACCGGCTGCTCGCACTGACGCAACAACGATGAGAAATTTCCTAGATCGAGGAGTGCAGGAAGCAAGGATCAAGGAAGCGTGGATATACGCGATAAACAACGTTCAGCCGTGATTACCCGTCGAGTTGTCTCTCCTTTCTATCGTCTCCGTGCACCTGCGAGTGACACAGATTTTACATCGTAAACAGCCATAAACACGCGGTATGCTCGTAATTACAGCCACAACCGGCGCGCAGCAACGGGATGCGCGAACCGCGATGAAACCACGAACGTCGGAATCCTGCATAATTCATGACGGTGGATCGCGTGGTCGTGAAGTCGAAGCGTTAACGATAATCGTTCTATCGCGACAAATTCGAATGGGAATTTGGATAGGAATAGTCTATCGTCGACCGAGATGTCGCCAGTTACACAATGACAAACTCACCGCTCATTATACTAACTCTGGAGCGCCACTAGATCGTAAATGGGTGGCAGTAATTGAAATATTAATGAGATACGAGACAACGCGGCAGCCATGGTACGCGTTCACCTTTGTATGGGTGTTGTAAACTGGAGAAGGCTTGGTCACATTAATATGGGCTCGAATGACAATGTGAACGGCTACGAGTAACACGAGGACTCTAACGAATTATTATCACTCCACGGGTCGATTATGATGGAACCATAAATCAAAGCTTTGTCACGTCATCCATCTTAAAAGTGTCTTAATCTTTCGGGGAACACGGCTACCACATTAACCGTGAGGGGGGGGAGGAGCCCGAAATTCTTCTTTCGCGATGGAAAAATCCTAGCACGAGCGTGGTCCACGTCCATCGTGGAACCATCGCGACGGCCGGCT